TTGATTTATAGATTGTGGAAGCATGTGAGAAAGGAAAGTAACAGGTTCAACTGAACTGGCAGTTTTATTTTTAAAGTAGGGTTTAAAAACTCTTGCGTTCGACATGGACGACGAACAAAAGACGGGACAAAAGTCGAGGCGTCTTTCAGATGTGGGCGTCTTCTTGTCATTCAGGTGCTTAAATGAGTTTTTACCAACCGGGAAGAGAACTGAGCACATCTCCAGGTGAGCTGCTCCTGTGTGCTCATTTAATTATTACCACCCAATGGAAAGTGTGATTGCTACCTGACAGCAACCACCGCACAAATTTGAATGAAAATAGCAAAAAGTAACTTTTGGACGTGCCTCCACAGCTGATCAACCCTCAAGGTAGCTGCTATAGCCAGCGGACCGTAGGAAACGCATAAACTGGCTTTGGTTCAGTCAATTCTAAAGGTACAACAAAGTTAAGTCAGGTCCTGTGGATGGTTTCTTTGTGTTGCATTTCTTCTTTTATCCAAAGAACTTCTTCAGTCTGAGGAGCCACAACAAACTCAGTCCCATAGGTAGCACATTGACATAGTGGGCCAACCAGTTTGATGGTGATAAGATGGTTTCTGGAGTCTTTTTTTTATTCATCTTAAATGAAACATTTCAACATAAAAAAAACGTCCAGAGGACCCGACTTAACTTTGTTGGATTTTCTACCTGGATTATTGAACATGAACTTTTGATGTTTTGAACCACTTTGGCCATGACTGCCTCAGAGGAGTCGACGCGGGAGAGGGCAGACTCCATAAACCATCTTATCACCATCAAACTGGTTCAACAATGTTCAATCAGGTCATGTGGACGGTTTCTTTTTTTTGCTGAGATGTTTCGTCCTTCATCCAAAGGACTTCTTCAATCTGAGGAGCCACAAAACAAAACTGATTCACACAAACGGCATACTCCATAGCGGGGAAAAACAGTTTGCTGGTGCTAAGATGGCCTCCGGGGCCCGCCCTCTGCCCCGTCAACTCCGCTCAGACAGTCACGGCCAAAGTGGTTCAAAACATCAAAGTTCATGCTCAATAATTCAGGTATAAAATCCAACAGTCATCAAACTGGTTGACCCACTATGAGAAAGTGCAGTTTATAAGACTTGAGTTTGTTGTGGCTCCTCGGGCTGATGAAGTCCTTTGGATGAAAGATGAAACGTTTCAACAAAAAGAAACCGTCCAGAGGAGCTGACTGAACGTTGCTGGATTTTTACATGGATTATTGAGCAGGAACGTTGAGATTCTAAAGGTAGTGTGGTAGTAGCTGAGAGTCATTTAAATCCGTCCACATATTTATGAAATGTTTTGCTAACACACAGTCATGCATGATTGCCCACCACTAATGGCAGTACCGGTAATTATAAGAACGAAGGCTTATTTAAACTAATCTAATCTTGATGCAGGGTAGCCTTTCATGTCTTTAAACTTAAATCTCAACATGTTGGCTAAATTCTCCAGGGGAGGTGTGTGTGTGTGTGTGGGGGGGGGGGGGAATAAGCTGCCACCCTCGAGGACACTTATCAGTGGGAGTAGCGAATGTGACTAACGCGGCTCCAAAAAACAATTAGGCCGTTTAACTTTTCCCACATCCGAGTGTGACATCTGCGCCGTGGTGGCAGACCATCTGAACCAGCTCGACTGGGGGCGGGGGGGCTGTGTCCACACTTCGTGCAGATGTTCTCGCCTTCCTCCGGCAGTAAATTGTCAAGCTGTCTGCTCCTTAAACAACCAAATACACCCCCCCCCACACACACACACACACACTCCATTTAGTTGAACAATAATCATCACCGTCCAAAACTCAGCAGGCATAAAAAAAAAAAAAAAAGCAACAAGATTTTTGTTGTACAACTTTTTTAGTCAATTTTCTTTTCAAGCAACAAAAATCGGTTTACATCAACGGCGTATTTTACAACAGTCCCCTCCATTCAGTACAATCGATCCCTCATGGGGGGGGGGGGGGGGGGGGGGCAGCAGGAATAGAGAAAACATTTCAGACAAGCAGCAGCACCACTTTCCCCCACACATAAGTGTCTCTCAGTCCTTGAACAACGCAATGAATGAAATCATGCAGCCACTTGAAACTGCTGAACGACCACTTGAAGGCCCCCCCCCACACCCCCTCCCCGATGCCTGTGCCCTCCCACGATTCACGGCAGGAGGATATGACCATCGCGAACTTTGCCACAGGCAGCAGAGGGAAACATTTTCCACGCTGCGGGCAGTTTGACAAAGAGTTTATGGGTGGATCGGCGCAGAAGAGGGGTGGTGGTGGTGGTGTGTGTGTGGGGAGGGGGGGCTCCAAACGGCAGAATTATTACGTTTGCTTTTCCTCTATAAACTAAAACATACATTTAAGCATTTGGCTGAAAACTGAGGTGTTAGAAGTACGAGAACATCTCCAGAACACATTAAACACTTGAACTGTTTGCCTGCAGGACGTCGGACATCTTGGCTTAACGTTCACTCTGGATTGAAGATCCGTTCCCCACTCGCGTCTAAAACCCAAACGTCACGCAACCAGAACGAGAACCTTCTGAAGACAAACAGGTGAACACAAAAGAGTGACGTTTGGAGCAACAAAAAAAAAACCAAGACGTTCACCTGAACGCTAAACGTGCATTTTGCTTCTTTTTTTTTGTTGCCCCGTCTTGGTGCGTTTCGCGTCAACCCTCCGGTAAAAGTCAACAGGCCGACTCAAGGTTGAAGCGTGCGCACGTCTGCGCCGTGACCTTTATCTCAAAGAGTCACGCTGTGAGGTGAGGAGGCGTGTCACGGTTCTTTCTCCTCGCGGAAAAAAAACAAAAACACCGGGAGAAACAAACAAAAACAAACAAAAGAAGAACATCTTAACGGTAAAACAACGTGTCCAGACTGGAGAGCTGAGCGTTGCTTCTCGAGGTTCTGTCAGAGAACAGCTTATTGGAGCTGTTTGAGATTTGGCACTGACAACCCTGCAGTGATTTCGTCCTTGGTCACCGGCGAAGCAAAAAAAAAAAAAAAAAGGTAATCAAATAAAATCAGATCACCAAGCAAACTGAAACGAGTTATTTTACAGACCAAAAAGAAAACAAATTAAAATGTTTAGTATAGTCTGCTATGACGACTGTATTAGTGCTAAAATGGGGCAAAGAGAAGGAAACACAGGGCAGGCACTTAAGTGCTAATGCATAGTAAAGATTAACGCAAGAGAAACAAAAAAACGAGAGAGAAAAGAAGATAAAAACAGAGTCTTAAAGAGCTAAATGACATTTTGTTTCAACGTAAAAACTCAAACTGTATGGCGTTGTGTGAAATAACTGAGAAAACGTTAGCTTTTTGAGGTGCTAGCGTTAGCATGGCTATTAATGTCCTCAGCTGTTTGTACCGTTTGTCGATTAGCGTCCTGAGTTGAAGGAGATTTAGTGTCTGGAGCTAATAGCGCTAATGGGATTGCTTGGCTCTATATCAGGGGTCTAACGCTGAGCTGTGGTCAGCAGGACGGTGAATTTACGTCCTGGCGTGCGGCTAATATGTTAATCTGATCCAGCCGGCTTTAGGTTGGCGAGCTGCTCTATTCACTGCTACAAGTGCCATTTTGTTTCAAGCCTGTGGATTTTAATACCTTGGACTATGGCTCGCTGAGAAGAGGTAACCGCTGAGAAAAGTCAAGGGGGGGAACACAGAGGAGTTTTTAAAATGCAACAAAGGAATTAGCACTGAGCTAGCAGCTTCGCTAACATTTCTTACAGCAGGAAGGAAGGCTAGCAGATAGGTAGCTAGTACCATTTTTATATTTAATGCAAAAGTGCTGCGTTCATGTCATGCTCGGCTGGTTCCGAGTTCAAGTTTACGGCTCAAGCTGAAGCGTATGAGGTACGCCAACAAAACTTGTTTAGTGTGTTAACTCCGCACGGCTAGCTAACCCACTCGAACAGAAGAGTGAATAAATTCCAACTAAGGCCTCGTCAACATTCCTCCTGATATTCATTTTTTAAGTGTTTTTTCCTCTCCAGTAAATTTTTTTTCAAAGCCTTTTGAACAAAAACACCTGAAATTCCCTTGTTGCACCACTAGGTGGCGATAACGCCGACATTTACGAGATCAAAATACTGAAATTGAAACATTCGTAACTCGGCTAAAGTTTCTCACAAATTATCTTTCTTCGATACCATTTACTGTTTTTCCTCGAGATTTAACTTTTTCAGTACATGATTGATGTTTAATGGCGTAAAGGACCAGAATAAAGTGTAGACAAAAAATAAAGAAACGGCTCTGTTGTGGTTTATGGCACAAACGTATGAACCAGGCTGCTTTATGATTGTCTAGTTCTTAAACTTCACTTTGAAAACACACAAAAAAAAATTTTTTTAATTTAAAAAGCCATTTGCGTTGATCAGATGTGCAAAAATTAAAATCCTGAGAGTTATCGACAGGGTCAGAGTAAGCTTAAATATACGAACAAATGTGCTCATAAACATCATCTGAAGTGACCAAAGAATCACCAGAACTGTGTTTTACAAATTACATCTTAAAGTACTCAAAACAATAATTACATTTTTCGTGATTTAAAGACTTCAAACCCCATCTTCCTTTCTTTCCAGCAACTACGAACCTGAATTTCGGCAGTGATAAAAGCACCTTTACATACGTTTGCTGGGAACAGCTTTGATTTCTGGCTTCAAGTGTTCTGATTTGAGGTTAACAGTTAAAATTTGATCAAGTGCAACTAATTATTGTTAGTTTGTTGGGGGCGTTTTCTCTTAAAAGACTGACTGCAGCAGTCTCTGAGTGTACCGTGCTTAAACCAAAGCAGGCGACGCCATCATTGTGTACACTTTTTTCTTTTTAGCTCATGCGTTGAAAACAGGGCTGTCTCAAATTAAGACACTGTAAATATTTTGTCTTTACAAATCACTCAAGAACCAGGAGCGGTTTCGTAAAAACGTCGAACTTCCACGTTTCCTGGTTAACGCTCAAGCGACTCTGATTGCGCAACAGTCGTCGAACACGTAAACGCAACAAACTTTTAACGCCAAAATCCTGTATGACATGAACGCAGCAGTGACAAAACAAAGCCTACCCCTATCAGCACCTTCAGCTGCAACTTAATTTGTAAAAACGTCAAATAAAAAAAATATATATACAACCTAAAGCTTCAATTAGATCTTGGTAAAATAGTACAATCTGAAAACGAGGCACTTTTACATATTTCTATATGTTCTCTCTCTCTTTTTTTTTTTTTAACGAGTCAAGCACATTTGTACCATTTGTAATTAGTTTACAAACGAGAGAAACGAGTTTTATTTCGTACCGCCCTGTGATTGGCTTTCATTTAAGGAATGAGAGCAGCTGATAGCTTTTTAAGAGCGTCGTTTGGCACACATCCCTGTCGGTTTGATCCCCCAACAAGGTGAAAACGATGAGAAGGAAAAGGTTTCCATCAGTTCTGTCAAAGTGCTTAAGGGGTCGCATCCGGTCCAGCTGCTCTCTGATGTGCTTGGTTGTCACAAAAACAAAGGGAAAAGTGGAGCGTTGAAGCGCTTTGAGTGGTACCGGATTGTCTTCTTAAGGACGACCCGCTGACATCAGCACTCTAGAGGAGGACAAAAAAGGACAAAGAAAGAAACAGTTCGGTTAGAGATACGGAAAAGGGAATAAATATTATGACATGTTTATATATTGTGTCTTTTTATCAGGCGATTACAAAGAGTCTGCTTATCGGTTCTGGCACACCGTGACCTTACAGCAGACAGCAAGGATTTTCACAAAGATTCAAACAGGAAGAGAGAGATAAAGAAGAAAGACGGTGAGGATACCTACTGCTACAGGCACAAACACAAATGTGTGGTTTTGATTAAATGCTAGCGTGGAAATCCAGATTTTATGGCACATATTGTTCAGAAAACATACAAGTCTGCTCTCGCTCTGGACATATGAACACACAGGTACGCTCAAAACACCGCAAGAATTTAAACCTTCAGCAGATTTATTACTTAGAATTGACAAAATTAGCAGCAATAGTGTCAAACAGTTGCAGGGTTTGTGGCTCTTCAGGTCCAATCTCAGTGTTTCCCCTAGATTAGTTGCCATGGCAGGGTACTAATCTCGTCCGTGAGGGAGTCAGTGGGGGCACGTCTGAGCCGCGCATTGTTTGTACTGACAGTTTTCGAGCAGGTTGAGGTGGGGCATGCGTGAGCGCAGCATCTAGCTTTTTAGCTAGCGCACCTGCATTGCGTACCTGTCATTACTCAATCTGTTACGGAACCCGATCCGTAGTGCAGCTCATTGCGCTAAAAGGAATACTTCCGGGTCGCACGGATCGCCGTTGAATAAGCTAGATTAAGGAAAACGTACTAATATAATTCCGTTCATGAAGAAGAACTGTCTTAATTCACTTAGAAAAGTATGTGCTCTATCTCAGCTGATTTTCATGTTGCTAATTTATGCCACTCGTATTTCCACTAAAATCATTGACATATTTACGTCATGGTTAAAATTATATGCAGCTTCACCACTGAGGGGCGCTGTTTCACCAAGGACAATTAATTCTGTATCTTGCAGGGTTTTTCTCATTCAACCCAGGCTGGGGGTCAGGTCTAATGCATCACATATCTTAACCAATGATTTGTAACGAAAATACATTAAGATTGGCGGAGATAGACCACGTACTTTTCTAATTAAGACAGTTTTTATTCATAAACGATGGCAAACTGTGCGACCCGGAAGTACACTATGAATCATGCTTCTGTAACAGATTGGGGAATGATAGTGCCGCTAGCTTAGTGCTACGTTGGTAATATGCCGACCGGGGTGTGTGTGCGTTTCGGTTTGGTTGACAGGGCGAGTCGCCCTGCTTGTATAATGGTAGGGCAAACACTGAATCTTTAGTCTTAAACAACGAAACAATGGTTGTAAAGCAAAAGACGCCAATAACACCGGATGATGACCTTGGCGCGTTCTACATAACCTACATGACCCATCAGAATAAGGATGGATTGCAAAAAATTTGAGCAACCTTCATTATGAAGTATAAATGATGCTGCTACCCTTGTAAAGAGAGCTAAGATGGGGAAGAGGTAGGGCAGCCGACTTGGGACCAGAAAGTCAATGTTCGACTCTACGCCATTCCCACATGTTGTGGTGTCCCTGAGCAAGACACCCAATCCTTAATTTGCTCCCCGGGCGCTTACATAGCTGCCCATCCACCTGGGTGCATCTCACGTGTGATGGGTTAAATGCAGAGAACTAATTTTGCCAGTAATGGGGGTCTTACTGGTGCAGGTGTCTGTATGATTTTCAAATAACTTGTAGGTTAAATGTGGTGATGAAGAGGGAGCTGAGCTGTAAGGAGGAGCTCTCTGTTTATCGGTCGGTCTACGTTCCTACCCTCACCTATGGTCATGAATTCTGGGTAGTGACCAAAAAAATGAGATCGTGGATACAGGCGGTTTTCTCCTTGAGTTTTCTCCGAATGGTAGCTAGACTCTCCCTTAGGGATAGGTTGACAAGTTCAGTTATCAGGAGAGACTTGGAGTTAAACCTCTGCTCCTCCACATCAAGAGGAGCCACTTGAGGTGGTTTGGGCATCTAGTAAGGATGCTCCCTGGGTGCCTCCCTAGGGAGGTGCTTCGGGAATGTCCGACTGGGAGGAGACCTCGAAGAAGACCCAGGACATGCTAGAGAGACTAGATCTCTTGGTTGGCCTAGGAACGTCTTGGAATCCTGACAGAAGAGCTGGAAGAGGTGGCTGTGGAAAGAGATGTTTGGGCTTCCCTGCTCAGGCTGCTGCCCCCATGACCCGACTTCGGAACAAGCGGAAGACAATGGATGGATGGATTGTAGGTTAAATGGGTGGATGTGGCTGAGTGATTAGAGCAGTCGTCTTCCAATGCAAGAGTTGGGGGGTTTGATTCCACCAGCAGTCACATGTCAAAGTGTCCTTGGGCAAGAAACTGAACCCAACATTAAATCGCATTGCATTGCATGCATGTGCCATCGATGTATGAATGTGATAAAGCACTGATTATTCTTTGTAGAGATCTAGTAGAGTGCTGTATGAATGATTAAATGAGGGCACAGACTGTAGTGTAAAGTGCTTTGATAAGCTCTTGATAAGATAGAAAGGTGCTATATACGTAAGTACAGTCCACTTACCATTTTAAATAACTATAATAAGGCTCAAAATAGGGGTGGACCCTGTATCAGCAACCTTACACAGCAATAACAGAGATGTTTAATTGTAATTTGTTGTGAATGTCATTGTAAAGAAGTGTCCAGTCTTGGTCCTCAAGGATCGCCATCTTGCATATTTAGATGCCTTCCAAGTTCTGGAGAAGCCTGTCAATCACATTCATTCAAATCAGGTGTCAAAGCAGAGAAACATCTAAATCATGCAGAATGAACAACAAAGAATCTCTGACTCTGATTGTGGACCAGGATTGGACACCAAACACCACCACACGTTGTTCAGAAAACCCAGATTTATTCAACCATGTTAATCCAACAATTTTCAGTAAAGTCATCTGGACAGTTTCTTTTTTTTTTTTTTTGTGCTGAAACGTTTCACCTTCCATCCAGAAGGCTTCATCAGTCAAGGAAACACACCACACAAAACTGATTCCCCCCCCCCCCCCCCCAACAGCTTAATCCAAAGTGGAACAAACCAGTTATGTTGGTGCTAAGATGGTCTCATGATTTGCACCTCGGAGGTGTTTATTGTTCAGCCTCACACTGATTTTCATCAGACCAGAGTCACCCAGTGCAACCAAGTATAATGACCACGTAGCTGTTTAAATTAACGCTTTGTTGAGATGACTTACGGGATGCGGAACAACCTTTGTTTCGTTTGATCTTGAAAGGTCTCGTGTGGTAAAACATTGCACGTGAAAGTGAATGAGAAACACATTTTTGCAGTTTGATCAGCAAGAACAGGACTCAGAGGATCATAAGGATAAGTAGAGTGCTGTTTAAACTCTGGGTTTATTTCCAAAAGATGCCATGACTCACGCTAAAAGAACTCGGGCTGCTCTTTTTTCCAAGCAAACATTAAAAAGTTCCTAAAAAGATCAGGCTTTGGGGAAGAGTTCCCCGTCTGTTTTTGCCTTAGAAAAAAAAAAAAAAAAAATCCCAGCAGTGCTCAACTCTCTAATTGCACAGGGGTACTCTATATTTATGCCTCTCCCCCGTTTTTTCCTCCGGTGCAGTGAGCTATATTTAGCCCCCCTCTCTCTCCGAACAGACGGCAGCCGCCAGCCGGCCGATCCGATCCGGGGCGGACTGAAACAGAACTGAGCATCTCCCTCGTTTCAACCGTGCGAGACGGTAAACAACAACAATGAGCCGTCAAACTCCAGAGGAGACGGGTTATCTGACGCTCTGCCATTAACACACGCACACACGCACACACACACACACACACAAAGGCACACAGGAGGATGATATAATCATGTGGATGAGATTCACTTAATAGTGACCTTTCTCCAGCACAGACATGGGAAATTACACAGATGGGGATAAAAAAAAAAAGCTTGAAGCACTGACTCATAATTAAACGTTCCCTCTGCTCGCCACACTTATCAGATGTCAGCTTCTTGTTTTCTTCACCGCCCCCCCACGTCCACTGGTCTGAGCCTCCCTGGGAGCTTTGTCTATTGATTTTATTCTTTTCCTCGAATCTTTTCACTATTTGTGTCTAAATCAATAGAACGTTGACCCCCCGATGGTGACAGCGATCATTTCTCTTCCCCTTTCTCCCACAGCCAGAATGTTTAAATCAAAGGGGGGGGGGGGGGGGGGGTGTCAGTGTGGGTCTAGCCATGTGGCTGTTGGTGTACAGTCAAACGAGTTTGGGTCTATGTGATGTCTCAATTATGTCTGCCTTAAATAAATAAACGGATTAAACGACAGCCTTGCTGTTCATCGGTCGTAAATCGAGGATGTCGGTCTGTCATTTTCGTGCCGCCGCAGCTCCCACAAAACACGGTGCTGGACCCAGCAACATGAAGTGAGTCATTCTGTCCACTGTTAAATTATATTACAGCTTTCATAAAATATGAGCAGACCCACACGAGACACTGCACTCCATCATCAGCTTCTAAATGAAACGGTGCAGAACGGCAGCAGTGACGGGAACTGCTGGGAGTTAACATTTGTGGAGGCAAGAAAAAATAAATACAAATAAGTAGGAATGGTGACCATTTATGGAGCAAATGAATAGATATGCCCATAGATCTCATAAGACTCTGGGCAGAAAATGCCCCCCTCATTTCAGGTGGTAATTTATGGTTTGCATTCAGGCAAAAAATCGGGTGGTTCTAACCTGAAATTGGAGTTGTCTTTATGCAAGAACTCCCTCAGATTTCAAGACGAGCCGCCCTGCAGAAGTCAAATACCGTAGTCCCTCGATACTTTGCGGCTCGACTTTAGCGGACTCGCTCCTTCGCAGTTTTTCAACGTAAGCTTGTATACGACACACGATTGTCAACTTTAATATTACTATCATGACTGGGATGGTACTAGGGCTGGATGATATGAGCCAAAATTAATATCTCGATATTTTAAGATAAATCGTGACATACGGTATATCTCAATATT